TTTCACCATGTTGACCAGGATGGTCTCGATCTCTTGACCTCATGATCCACCCGCCTCGGCCTCCCAAAGTGCTAGGATTACAGGCTTGAGCCACCGCGCCTGGCCTCATTTCATTATTCTTTATGCCAAATATATATTATAGATATGTTTATACATCTATCTATCTATCTACACACATATATTTTTTGAGACACAGTGTTGCCCTGTCGCCCAGGCTGGAGTGCAGTGGCATGATATCTGCTCATTACAACCTCGGCCTTCCGGGTTCAAGCAATTCTGCTACCTCAGCCTCTTGAGTAGCTGGGATTATAGGCACCTGCCACCACTGTGTCCAGCCCATTATATCTATCTATCTATCTATCTATCTATCTATCTAATCTATCTATGTATAGATAGATATTTTGACAGTTTTAAATGTTTTGTGATTTTTTTAAAGAGGGAGTGACATTTAAAAATAGAGTGAAGAGGCCAAATTCGGTGGCTCATGTCTATAATTCCAGTACTAGGAGGCTGAGGTTAGAGGATTCCTTGAGCCCAGAAGATAGGGAGACATTAGCTGGGAGTGGTGGCATGTGGCTGTGGTCCTAGCTACTTGGGAGGCTGAGGCAGGAGGATTGCTTCAACCCGGAGGTGGAGGCTGCATTGAGCCATAATTGTGACACTGTGCTCTAGTCTGGGTGACAAGCGAGACTCTTTCTGAAAAAACAAAATGAAACAAAAACATAGAAGAAAGAAACCACCCAAGACAATGGAAAAGATGAAACTATTTTATTTCATCTTTGGCCCCATTCAACCATAGTTATGATATGGGAGACTCTCATATTTCTCTCAAGAGAAGGTACTTCTACTGTACTGGTGCTCTGCTAAGAGCATTTATTTATTTATTTACTTATTTGAGACAGAGTCTCACTCTGCTGCCCAGAGTGGAGTGCAGTGGGGCAATCTTGGATAACTACAACCTCCGTCTCCTGGGTTCAAGCGATTCTCCTGTCTCAGCCTCCCAAGTAGCTGGGACTATAGGCATGCACCACCATGCCCGGCTAATTTTTTATATATTTAGTAGAGATGGGGTTTCACCATGTCGGCCAGGCTGATCTCGAACTCCAGGCCTCAAGCGATTCGCCTGCCTCAGCATCCCAAAGTGCTGGGATTACAGGCGTGAGCCACCACGCCCAGCCTATGCTCTGCTAAGGGCACTACAGACACGTGGACAATGCTGGAGAGGAGAGGGCCACCAAGGGACGTGGGCACCATCACTCATCTCCTGGAATGGATGAACTGTGAGAAGGATACAGGGAAGTTTCAGGAAAAAGAGCACAAATGTTTATATAATCTGGGGGGAAGACAGATTATTCTAAGGATAGAAGAAATTTCAACATACCTGAGCCATGGCTTTTATAACTATTTGACCTGCTCTGATTTCTCTGGATTCTTCTCTTGGACAAGTACAGAGTCCTGTAAAAGCAGAATGGGGGGAGATGGAGTAACCTCTGATAAACCCAGCTTGCCTCAGCACTCCCAAATAGAGGAGCTTAAAAGAACTAACTGTACTTCCAATGTCTCAAAACTGCTTCTCTCACCCTCTCCATGTCCTTCCACACAAGAACTAACATTAAGAACTACTAAGTTGGCTGGGTGCGGTGACTCACGCCTCTAATCTCAGTACTTTGGGAGGCTAAGGCAGGTGGATCATGAATCATGAGATCATGAGTTCGAGACCAGCCTGGCTAACATGGTGAAACGCTGTCTCTAATAAAAA